ATATAGATTTAAAGCTAACATTGAACCAAAGACCTAAAACCAAGAACAAAAGGAACTAGATGAGTCCTACCATCGACTGGACACTAATGACGATGAGAGGGAAGCGCTGGCGTGAAAGATTAGCCTGCGCCCAATGAAAAAGAGAAGAAGCAGGAGAGTCGAAAGAAGGAAGGGAATAGTCGAATAGACCATGCGGCCAAAAGAGGGTGAAGACGGGAATCAGCGGCGGATCCAGAATACAGAAATGCACTGGGCCGCATTTTATTAGAAAATTAGAATAGTAAAAAATATAATGATTATAATTTTTTTACAATGTAAATTGTACACGACGGTATTTTAATTTAGTGAATGCATTAATAATGGAGTCCACATCAATACCAATAGTACACTGTTTCAAATAAAATACTTGAGCAATCGACTAGAAATCCATCGCTCATTTTGTTGCGCAAATCAATTTTCACATGTTTCATTGTTGAAAAGGTTCTATTCGTATTAGCTGTTGAAATGAGCAGCATCAACACTAGACAAATCAATCTACTAATCTATTTGCATTGTGTTTCCATCCCTATATCCACCAGCTGCTCTAGTAAATTTTCCAAGGTAACAAACCTCATATATGTTTTAGTCTTTTACGTTTTAAACTTTTTGAATTTTTAGGTTTCATTGTTTTTTAGACGAATAACCTTTGGGGTTAGAATTTATAAGCTAAATTTAGAGTAGTGATTTTGAATATGTTCATTTGAATTATTTTTCTAATTATACACAATCTTATTTTAAAATAACAACGACCCGAATATCTAAAATCGAAAAATTCATAAGGCCTATACTAACTATGGATCCAGAGAGGCATTTGAGATTGAAACTTATTGAAATGAACGGCTGAGATTAAGTTGAAAGTTCCAGAGAGGCAAGTAGTTTAACATTTAAGAGCAAGTATTTTAATACAATTGAGAATTTAAGATCAAGTATTTTAATATCTAAGAGCAAGTATTTTAATGCAACTGAGAATTTAACCGCAAGTATTTTAATGTTTACTAACATACCGTTTGGTAATAAATGAATTTCATAAGTTTTGAGAAATTCATTTTAAAATGAAACTTTTTTGTGTTTGGTATTTAAAACAGTTATTTTCAATTCTAAATTTTGAATTCTATGGAATTGGAACTAGTTACAGCAATTCCGAAGAATTGAGATGGAATTTCCAAATGAACTCCACAAGTATTTACAAATTATAATTAGCGGGCTTGTCAAAGATAGAAAAAAGTTGATTAACATTGTGAATTAAGTCCCTTCTACTATAAAAGAATGACTTATTATTTCATTTGTAAAGTAAAAATATTTTCTTCTATTATCATGATTGTATTGTGGACAATATATAATAACTATTTTTTTTAGAGACGACATATCATTCCTATATGTGTCCAATTGAAAGCAATAGATGTCTCCAAAAATTTTATTTAAGGACAAGAAGTTGTTCCTTGTGCATTATTTCTTGATAGGACAAATTCTCACTTGTGTGACTTTTATGTACCATTTTTTTTTTTGAAAATGAGTTCATTAAGATTGCAAAACGGGCCAAGCCCAACCGGTAAAGATACAGATGGAAACAAGAATAAACAGGACCAAGACAAAAAGGCCCAAAAGAGAACTGGATACCCAATAGGGCCCGGTCCAAGAACCCAAACATTGTCCAAACCCCATCAACCCTAGCTGACCGTCTGCTTCCCTCTAGACGCCTCCACCGCCGCAGCGACTCTCCACCACAACTTGAAATCGACAGTCGCGTCGACCCTCACCAGCCACCGCCAACTCTCGTCAAAACGGGAGGAGAAACCACCAAACCCGAACTGGCAGGGAGAGGAAGAGGGCCTCCCATGCAACCCGCCCCGAGCCAATCGCCATCAGCTTCCGCCGTCCAAAAGCGGGGGAACCCATCAGAACGACCAACGACCGGTGAAGCAGCCAGAGGGAAGAAATCTTCTGCTTTCAAAGCTCTCCAGACCATGTCCTCGCCGAGGGCTTCATCTCCGAATTCCCAAGATCTGCAAGGGAAAACATGGAGGTAGACAAAGGAAAGAAGAGGAGAAAACAAGCCAGATCTATGATAGATCTGGCCACCATTTTGCAACTTAGATCGGACACCTCTCCAGCTCTGAACCAACAGAACGGAGGACAAAAACTCAACCCACTGAAGGGGAGGAACAGATCACACCAAGGGGAAAGGAAAAACCGACTAAATCGAGGAAAACCCAAGCAAAGACATGGCAAGAACAAAAGTAAAGAGAAGGCAAAGAGATGGAGAAAGCATAAAAAAGAAATGAGAGGGCGGAGGGCTGCCGCCGGTCACCGGTAGGGTGCCGGCGGCAGCCCCCATGACTGCCTGGGAAGCTGGGTTAGAGAGAAGGCAGAGAAAAAAACGGGAGAGAAAAAGGAGAGAAACTAGCCTCTAGAAGAAGCCAAGCGGTGTAGCTAAACAACCACTTCTTTACGGAATCTGGCGGTTTGTTAGTTTGCCACTTTTTCTCCGACTTTTATGTACCAAGTGTTCCTTAAGTTGTGGCTTGATGAAGGATAGATTATCACATATCTAATATTTATGGAGGCCTAGTGGTCCTTTAACCTATGTTATTAGAGATGAGAAATTGTCTCCTATGTAATTTGAAGGGACAATAAGTTGTTTTTTCCCATGTGTCTTCAAAAATAACTCATTGTCTCCTATATAATTTGTAGAAATCGCTTTCATTGGTTAATAAAATTTCTGCAGGTTTCGATAAAACAATTTCAAAGATCAATCTAATTCTATATATGGAAAAGATTCAGTGTGCAAGACAAGAAAAACTGAGACCGATATTCTACGAAAAATTCACAAAGATAATTTAAAACAATCTCGCTACAAGTTTGATTGATGATAAACAACATAACTACCTTCCACACTCAACGAGACAAGCTTTTCACCCCTCTACTGGCACCGCCTCCGACGCGCAAATGCAGAAGATCATGATTCATGAACTTGATTTTCGCTATGGACCTACAACTTTTCAGAGATGGAAATCAAATTTACAAACCTTAACCGGATATTACCCTACGTTTAAAGAAGCAAATAATACGAAATAATATTCAGTAAAAGGAAACCCACTTATTTATAATTTATAATGTAGTTATCATCATAAGCTTTTTTTTTGTGTAAACTCACCAACAAAGTTCATAATTCAGACTTTAAAAAACCCTTTCACAAGTTCCAACTTAAGAGGAAAACAATAAAAATAAATAAAAAGGGTAACCAGCAGTACAACTCCAAAACGGAAAAGAAAACGTTCATGAGGAAAAAATGGGGGACAGGTTAGTAATCACCGTGGTTACTAATGGTAAATTGGGTATGAAAAATAAATTGTATTAATTAATTTTTTTAATAAATTACATTTTAGATAGTTACAAGAATCTATTAATTACAATTCTCTCTCTTTCTCTCACTTCCATAATCTTCAGCCAGAACTTGTTTCCTTATTTTTCTCAATCTTCTGCAAAAGAAAAAAAACACGAAATCACTACAAATCCATTAGACAATCACTACCACTTTGAAAAATATCAATACCATTGCAGAAATAAATCTATACCATTACACGAAAACTACCAATATAAACAATCTACCAATATAAATCTATACCATTTCACAAAAAATCAATACCATTGCAGATTGAATCCATACCAATACACACAAATTAATACCATTACATGATAATCAATACCAATGCGACAAAAACAATACCAATGCAAAAAAACACTACCACTACGAAAAAATCACTACCAATGCGGAAAAAATCAGATCTAGGGGTTTTATTCATCCCACCTTTTTCAGCGAATCTGTCGACCCGAGGAACTCCATTACTAATGCTCTGGCGAGCAGTGATTTCCCAACTCCGGTTGGGCCGTGAAAGAAGAAGCTGGTGAATGGCTTGTTTGGGTTTTTGAGAGCTATACTGGGTTGGGGTGGTCGGAGGGAGGGACGCCATGGGGGGGTAAGACACCGTGCACATATATAGAATTGGCAACCCCCATTCTCTCTGCTAACTTTTCTTCTTATCAGTGAGAGAGGAATAGCAGTAATGGTGGACTGGTGGTGGTATTGTTGGTGGTATATGTGAAAGAAATATCAAAACCACGGTGGAGGGAAGGACGTTGGTTGTAGGGTGGGAGAAGGGAGAGACGGCGGCTAGGTAGATAGGTTGTATTAGGGTTTGAGTATAATATATAGAGTAATCAGGTGTGATATGTTTTTCATTTCCTAAATTACCCTTAGCTAATCTTAATCGTTAATTTAAAAATATAATAAAATAAAGATAATGAATGGTATAGATGTTGGTAGCCACCGTGATTACTCAAAATTGAGTAACCACCCTAACCTATTCCGATAAAATGGTGTGTTCATTTTGATAATATATTTTGGAGACCATAAAATCAACCCAGGCTGCGAGCAAATAAAACCCCTGCCCAAAAAATTAGCGAGATTTGTTTTGGGGACAGTGGAATAAAATTAAAAAAATAATAGAGACAATTTATACGTTTGTCCCTAATACTACTTAGAATTGTAGTTGCGGAGACAATATAAGGGAATTGTCCCCTAATACTGGTCCCCAAATCTCCTTCTTTTTGTAGTGTTCGATTGAAACCTTGTGAATCACTGGATTACTTGGTCGCTTTGATTATATTGGCAATCGTATGCTTTCTGAGTCGAGGCTCATCCTCGAATAGTTCTTCGTCTTCTTCGTCGGGAAACAAGTTCAACAAGACTGAACTCTGAAGGGCTTGGGAGGATCACGGATACTGCCGCTACATCACTAAATGCCAGTTAATACCCCTATTGAGCTGTGGTGTCATGGTGAAATCCCTGCATTTGCGGGTGGGAAAACTAAAAATTAGGCAAGGCGGTCCTCCTCGCGCGTTACTAAAAGACGACGGTGGGTTCTGAATCGCCGGTGTGAGACAAGCGGAGGAAAAGGTAGATGAGGAACACGGGAATCAAAGGGGTTGAAAATCATCCAGATTCTTCTGGGTTCTGGAAATTGGATGCAAATCGAAGGTATCCCGTGGCCGAGACAACGGTTTCTTCTGTGTTTTCTAGCCATCCATTTCAAGCCGACCTCATCTCCGAAGTTCGCAAGATCTGCACAGAATGGACGACGCCTCTTCCTCTCCCTCGGCTTGTGCTCTCCCGTCACTGCAATCCTGGCTTCTTTCTCCGAACTATAGCAGTAGCAACAGCGACAAGTGGCATTTACATGAAGAGTCCACGACACGAGAGAGAGTGACGGCGCCGATTCAGAAATCAGAAGCATGCCATTGTTGAGATCCGCCGGAATAGGAACCGACGAAACAGGGATGGTTACGGTAACGGGAGTGGGGAATTTAGATCGTTATTTTTTATTTTCTATTATTCTTTTATTTTGGTTTTTAATTAATTACAATTTCACACACTTTCGAATGGCGTAATTCCGGGTAAGTAACTCAATCTGACTCTTCAGTTTCCTTTTTTATATTATTGCAATTTAGTCTTTTTTTTATTTCCTTTATCTTTTTAATTAACCGCTATTCGTTTCCTTCATTATTTATTAGTACTTTTTATTTGTTTTCTTTTGATACTTACCCTCCCTTTTATTCATTTTATTTGTCGCTTTCGCCCGTTTTATTTTTTTTGCTTTTCTTTAACTATTCTTAAAAAAAAATAAAATTAATTTGACATAGTTTTGGATTCGGTGTATCCGACTAAGCCTTAATGGCTTGTTTAAGTCCATTTGGTGGAGCTTAGTTGTCCTACAGTGGGGACGCTTGTGTGTTTTGTTTTGTTTTTTTTTTTTTTGTTGTTGTTGTAGGGGCACGCAGAAGAGCTCCCGTTATTTGAGAGACTTCCTCAGACAGGTGACTTGGCTCATGATCAGGATGGAACTATCTTGCAGGATGCTCAGAGCGCGGTTTCTCTCTATAGTTGGGTTTCTTATTGTTTTGTTCTTCGTTGTCTCAATAGGGCTGCCCATCATGTGGCATAAAAGGCCCTCTCATCGAGAGTTCGACTATTGGTCGACTCCCGCGCTCTTTTTATTTTCTCTGTATGTCTGATTTTATAACAACTGACTTTGCAAAAAAAAAAAAAGAAGAAGAAGAAGAAGAAGAAGATTTTGTGCTCCAACTTGTAATTTTTCTCTTCTCTCTCTAGAAACTCACCCTCTTCTCTTGGGATTAAGAACCCTAAGTCTAGATTTTCGTTTTATGTTGATGTATGTGACAAATTCCATGTTTGATTGATGATTTTACTTAATTGATGGATGTTTTCATGAATTGCATGAGTTGGGTTTTCATTTTTCATGTTTTGAGCTTTTGACTTCAGAGGAAGAAAATCCCCTTAGTGCCCACTATTGGCGTCTTTGGGTCACTCCTCATCCTATATCATCCGGGTGATCTCCAAGGGAGTCGATTCCATCAATCTCCTACGATATAGGGTTTCCCTAGGTTGAATAGAGCACACCCCCATTCATCGATTCGCCATTTCGGGTCATTCCCGAGGGAGTCCATCTGCTAACGGTAGAGTATTTGAGTCGATCGAGCTAGGAGGATACCCAACATCGATTCAAAGGACGGACCTAGGACGATTCAACCCAAGAGAGCTCCCAACCTTGTAAATAGCTAGGTTAGTTAGTTTAATTTTTCCTAATCGCTACTCTAAGTTGGTGAGATAACGAAGCCTAAACCTGAAGTAGGGCAAGCCTAAATCCCTGTGGTACGATAAATTATTATTGCTTGCTTGCCCTATGTTACATCCGGTCGGCGATTTTGCTTTGCCGTCGATCGGGATAATGTAGTTGGAACGAGTCACACCTTAAGTCACCTTCCAAAAAATGTTACGTAACCATACTTCCCTTTTATGGATGAAAGTATTCCTTTACTTCGAAATATATCAAAGAGTTGCAAGTACCAGCAACACCTCACCGTCGCGAACAAGAATACTTTGTAACCATTCCTGCAAGTCACGAACAAAGAAGTCGATTTGGTGGATAGGAGGGATCAGGTTTGTCCATCTTCTTTTGACGAAGTGACAATCTCAAATAACACGAAGTGATGTCTCAGGAAGTGACAAGCCTATGATCTAATCCACACAACACCCACAAGTACCCAACGACTTTGAGCTTTCAATGGCTGGTGAAGCGGTAGAGAAGGAAACCGCGACTGGGTTGGATAATAAATTGCAGACCAAGAACAGTGATGCTGCTGCTCTCTTCAATCATATTCCAGATTGGCCGTGAATGGCAACAGCCTCACATGAGCCTTTGAATTAATTTGGTGGGCTGCTGCCTATTAAATGGTAAAAGTTGAGGGATTGGTCACTGCTACTGGGCCACGCCCCCTTTGGGTTTTTGGTCCCCCTACCTCTCTTATTCCAAAACCTAAAATGCCCGCCCAATTACTTCCGCTGCACCATCTATAAATATCTTCCCAAATTAACCGAGCATGATGGATGGTCCAAATTAAATTATGCAAAAGAAAAGGGGTAAAAGTTAGACCAATGAGCAGAATACCAAATTCATTTTTAGGGTTAGCACTTTAACATTAACATGGCTCGAAACTTGAATAACAAGATAATTTGGATCCAACTTGTCAAATATATCATTTAAATTTTCGACATAATAAATACTTCTTTATTTGATTTTGCGTTCATCGTTGTCGCCTACTGTAAACGTTTTCTTCCGCAAGTAACTCGTTAGCAATTCCCAACGTGAATGTCTTGTGCCTGTCTTTGCGATACCCAACTTGGATTCATAGACGGAGCTAGGGGGTATGGGATGTGTCCCGGGACACAGGTAATTTTTGGGTAAAATTTTATACCCATATATATGAATCAATTAAGGATTGCACTCATCAACTTTAGGTAATATAAAAGTGTTTTATCACTACACTACAAGTTATTTCAAGCTTAAAAGCTAACATAAATCAATGTATCACACTATAAACAAAATTCACGGTACCTAAAGGTCGATCTCTTTGTCCTCTAAAGTTAGTTTTGACTCTACTCATTACAATTGCAAGTGTAGAAAGAACAATTTCAGCTTTGAGCTATATTAAAAACAAGTTTCAAAGACAAATTGCAACCAATTTGCTAATGATTGCTTAGTCGGATACATTGAGAATTTAAAAATGCGTTGTGATTGCTTATGAAAATAGTGATTGTATTAGTCTAGTATTTCTTTAATATATATGAATAAATGATTTATATATTATTAGTTTTAATTTTATTTATTTTTTATTTATTTATTTTATATTATGGAAAAGAGGACACAGGTACTTTCAGATTCTGCCTCCGCCACTGCTTGGATTCTTCATTCATTCACTTCACAACTTGCACTGGCCGTGTCACGGTGATGTCTCAACTCTCAAAACCATGTAAACTTACATGTATTTGAGGAATATAGTGGATGGTAAAGAGTTCACCCCCTATCCAGTTCATATTCTCCAACGGTAAATTTTAAGCTCTCCTAGTTCAGATTTTTGGCTTCACTAACTATTTGCACACGTCTTTATTCCATCCATCACTAGTGAAACCCTCAACCTATTGTTAGGTCCGATCTGAATGCCCTACGAGACAACATGCAAGATCACAATGAAGAACTTATAGCCCGATTGGGACCTAACACGATCGACCAGGCCTTCACCTGATTTGAGAAAAAAAAGATCAATGAGTAGGGCTTCTGAAAGAGAAATAGAAAATAACACATGCCATACTTGCTCGGTGAAACAACGATGGAGAAGGAGATGGCTAATGGAATCCTCTATAAACTGACAAAGAGAATATCGGTTTGACGCAAATGGAAGCCACACTTCTTCAAATTGTTGATGAAGATACGCTTCCGTGTTGCACGAGCTAGGCAAAAGCACAAATCTTGTCAGACATCAACATTTCCAAATATGTCTCGGTGGGAAATAGATTGGATTGATTAATCTATTGGATTGGATCATATTTATTCAAGTAGCATTTCAACATCGGACCAATATGGAAATTTTGAAAAATTTAGATACTAAAATATCATAACCAAAACATGATTTTTCAACAATATTTTACGATAAAAATAAAAGTATCAAAATGTAAAATATAAAAATAATCTGCCAATTCCCATGACCAAAAGCATTTGTCATAGTATATTCCCGTGTCAAGCATTCCCGTGATCAAAGGTAAATTATCACGGGTATATCCCGTGACTGGAAATCATTGACAACGGGAAATACCCCATGACAAATGGTCTCTATCATCACGGCAAACTCCGTGACTAATCATTAATCACGGGTAATTTCCCGTGACTTTAAGATTAAATAGCCACGGGTTTTCCCATGACTAGTTATTTGTAATTGGTCTTTGGGAAGTCTATGATTGATATTTCCTAATATTAATTGCATTACGAAAACTAGAAAGTCATTTAGAACATCCATGTCATCACCAAAATCATACCTAATTGATTGTGAATAATACTATAAAAGGTTATTCATAAAAAAATAATACTATAAAAGGTCATGCATCAATGTTTACATACAATAAAGACGTTTGATGCTTGTAGCATTCTAACCAAATTGAACCAAACATAAATCCAATTGATCATTTCACTTAATCAAACATCCCTTTATATGCACACAAAGAAAATCTAGGAAACTTCTTTTGATCTTCTACATCACATTGAAATACAGCTGCTTCATCTTGTCTCCTCATCCTGCCTTTCATTGTTGATTGAACTCAGATAAATAAGCTTCTTTAAGAGCATACTATTCCACGCGAAGAGACATCTGTTGCCAAGAATCCAACAAATGACAATAGAAGCAAATTTATAAATTAAAAGAGATAGGATAAAAGAGAGTACCGAAAGTGAAGAATCCTACGGCCTGCAACAACCACCTTATGCAAATTAATCTGCCCAAGGAGAGATATGCTAAAATGTTGTCATATATAGGCTGCAAGACTCTCCAAACAACAAAACAATAGCTTAATAAAAGGATATGAATTCAGTGTCCTAAACTTGCTTTCATAAGCAGCAATATATGTTGTCTATTTGGTACTTAGCTTCCTTCATATGACACATGAGAAGCAGCAACACTCTCCATGATGTGTAAAGAACACGGGACACAAAATTGGATTAAAGGGAGTTCCAAAAAGAGGGTAGAGGCATGGATTCTATTATTAGTCTACCTTCCTAAATCAAAGGAGCAAACATCTGCAGTACCTAATCTGGGTTCGGTTATCTGGATTCTGCATCAAACATCTAAACTTTACACTTCA